ACAAAAGTTTTTTTTTTTTTTTTTTTTTTTTTTTTTTTTTTTTTGTGTGGCTAATTGGGACATATGTGGTCCAGTTGGGGGCTAGACGAGGCATTTTCCGGGTACTACGACTCGAGCTCGCCGGACGGGGCGGCGTCATCGTCAGCGGCGTCGAAGAATATTGTGTCGGAGAGGAATAGGAGGAAGAAGCTCAATGAAAGGCTGTTTGCCCTTAGAGCAGTGGTCCCCAACATTAGCAAGGTGACGACGACCCCATTAGAATAAACAATTCATTAGTTTATGGCTTTGCTTTTGCTTAATTATTGTCACTTTGAAATATTATAAATATGTAGTAGTTTCTGTTAGTGCTCCATTTGGGGTTCCAATTATTATAAGTTCCGTTTATTTCGTCGATTCGAGTTTAGAATTCGAGTTTTGTTACAATAAAAAGTTCTCAGAAACAGTCACATCTAACTTTTTTACTACAGTAAAAAGCTCTCACACAAAATCACATCTCAACTCGAATCAACAAAGTGAACGGGATAAATATAACTTACGGCGCTAATATCGACCATTTTGTCCCTATCTAGCTAACTCCAATTCTCTAGATTTTTTTTTTTTTTATAATTTCCATTTTTTCCCTGTTTTTCATTTTTGGCTAACTTGTTGCATTAATGAATTAATATTAGTTTCTGGGGTTTGATTATTTATTTAGATGGACAAAGCTTCTATTATCAAGGACGCAATTGACTACATCCAAGAGCTACATGAACAAGAGAGAAGAATCCAAGCAGAAATAATGGATCTGGAATCAAATAAAACTAAGAAGATTAATCCGGGATATTATCATCAGGATCATTTTATTGAGCAAGAGCTTCCCATCTTGCTGAGATCAAAGAAGAAGAAAACTGATCAACACTTGTATGATTCTGGAGGGTCAAGAAATTGTTCTACTTCCCCTATTGAAGTCCTTGAGGTCAGTCTCTCCTCTCTCTACCTCTCTTAATTTCCCGAAAAATATTTACGGACGCCACCGGCGTCGAACACCACCAGTAATAGAATATGGGACCCACAATTCTTGGTTCTGACATTTTATTAAGAGATGGTGTTAAATATCACCGGTGTCGTATACTATTATTCTAATATCTCTCTCCATGTAATTAATAATTGATTAAAAAGATGATTGGGTTATTTTTTATAGACACCGTGGAAGATTAGTGATTACTACTTAATTAAAAAGAAAAGAGTTGATCAATCAATTAATTAACATTAATATTAATTATTAATTGGGTTGCAGCTAAGGGTGACGTACATGGGGGAGAAGACTTTGGTGGTGAGCTTGACATGTAGTAAAAGGACAGATACAATGGTGAAGCTTTGTGAGGTTTTCGAATCTTTGAAGCTCAAAATTATTACAGCTAATATTACTGCTTTCTCTGGGAGGCTTTTGAAGACAGTCCTCATTGAGGTCAGTCTCCTTTTTAATTTTTAATTTCTAACGTCCTTACTTTTTTCTCTCTTCCTGATTTAGTCAAAAAAATATATATATATTTGTCATTTATTTCCTTTTTAAGAACTTCCAAAATTGGAAGAGCTCGCATATTGTTATGTCACAAGACACATCTTTTTTACTCGTGTAAATACATTTATTTAGTGGTAATACAAACAAATAATAATACCATTTAAAAAAAAAAAAAAAAAAAAAAAGGATGACTAGTTATTTGGTAGAAACAAAATGATAATTGCTATAGTTCAAAGGAGGATAATTATTGACTTTGTTACAAATTAATGAATTTAAGACAAAAGAATATCCTAAAGTTAGTTAGTTAGTTTTTTTTTTTTTTTTTTTTTTTTTTATCATGATCTGAACAAAGATATTATTAATATCTAAATTTTATTCATCTTTAACTGGAGATAGCTTGGAACTGAAAAAAGAATAGAGGATTTTAAAATAAGAGGGAATTTTTTTTTTTAAAAAAAAAGAATAAATTAAAGAAAAGAAAAGCTGGAGTTTTGTGGGGCTCCAATGGGTTGGAAATCACTTTTAATAAAGTGGATAATCCATTACGTGACATAGTATTTTAGGGCAATAATGATGAGTGGTGTAATCCAAAGTGTCCGAATAAACCTCTCCATGGAACAAAAGTGACGTGGGAAGGACCCAACTGGCCGTTTTTTCACTTTAACTAATATTGAACAAGAATGTTTATAATATTGTAGCTTTCCTTCTTCTCATTATGTATAATACACACACACACATATATATATATATATATATTCACTGTTTTCTTGGACGTATTTGGAAAGTGGAAACCTTCCTCTCACATGTCCGCCTTATTTGGAGTTAGTTTTGTTTTATTTTTAACGTTTTTTAGAAAGAAAAAATGAAAATAGGAGAGAAATAACGTTTGACACAATTAAAGATAAAAATAAAAATAAAAATAATTTTTTAATTTAGTGTAAAATAGGAGAGAAATGAAAAATGACTTTTAGTTATTTTTTTATTTTTTTGTTTCCGTTTTCTCCTCTCTTGAGCACAGAGAGAGAGACATTAATGAATTTTTTTTATACTAAAAATAATCTTTTGATAAAACTATTAAATATATTTTTAAAAATAATTTATGTCTGAGATTAAAAATATTTTTATTTTTATTTTCATATAAAAAATAAAATTATTTTAAAATGAGTTTCAAACGCATTTATAATTGTTCATAATATCAATTCATAACGAGTACTTAATCTTTTTGAGACTTTCCGCAATTTAAATTAGGACAAGAAAAGGTCAATACTGATCTTTCCAAGAGACATGTTAATTATAACCTGAACCTAATTTTTCTAAGGCCCCACCAATAGGGCTCACCCGTGATGATCTAACGACGGGTGGCCGTAGTTATATCTCTTGGCAGTTAGGGACGGACAGTTGATATATATATATATATATATATATATATATATATATATATATATATATATATATATATATATATTAATAGTTCGTCACTAATATATGTATTAATATTTCGTCACTAAAAAATTAATATATATATATATATATTTGCGTATTATCTAGTCAGCGGTATAAATAGGAAACTGGGCTAAGAGAAAAACCATTAATTTTTTGGTATAAAAACTAAGCTTGATTAAGGGAAGAAATTAGTCCAATTTTCTTGCGCCAAACCCACCAAAAGTATTATTGTTGATGAGATCATAGCAGTTGATGTTGTCCTTCAAAACCATTGGTTCTTTATGGAAACCCCACTCATGTAATTGATTTTTTTTTTCTTAGGTAAATTGATTGATTTTTTTTTTTTTTTTTTGGTTTGAAAATGGTTAGTACAAGTAAATAGTAATAACATGTGTTTCTTTCTTTGTTTTTTTTTTTTGGGGTAAAAATAGTAATAACGTGTTTCACATATGGATAATACCTCATTTTCTTCGAAAGTCCCAAGTAAATGCGTTCCCTGATTCCTGGGAAGGGCACTAATTTTTGGGGAAAAATGAAAACGCACGGAAAGCTCGAGGGAAACTCAAAATCCATTTTGAAAAGAGAAAAAACGTGTTCCAAATGAGAATTGCATAAATATATAAATACATGTCATTTAAAACGCGTTTTCTGCAACATGTATATTGAGGATGTTACTATTATCCATTTTACAATTTTTTTTTGGTTATTATTGCCGTGCCCTGTACTATTATTACGAGTTCACACGGATCTAATTTTTAATATCTCAAATGATATTTAATTAATCATATCAACATCGTTTAATAAATAATATAAAATTTTAAATTAAAGAATTTTTTTTATTTTTTTAAATAATGTGATATAATAAGATTTGTTAAACTCCATTTTAAACGTTAAAAATGAACAAATGATTTGAGTGCAAATTACATGTGTCGAATTTATTTATGCTTGTTTTAAAGCTGTTATATATGGACAAATTAAAGGAAAATGTGACAGAGAAAATACTGTACTAGGGTTAAAAACGTCTATTTTTATGGTCCCTATGTGGCCCATTCTTCGTATGTCGTGCGGTTCTAATTCAACTAACAAATGTCCACTAATTTAAGATATGTCCCTTGTCACATCACTATCCGATTTTTTTTTTCTTTTTTTTCCAATTTTTTTAATAAGAAATGACTTTATCTAAAAAATAAATAAATGAATAATGACTTGACCATGACATATTAAGACAATACGAATTTCTTCTTGATTCTTTGGATTATCAGCTGATTGCATTTTTTTTTAATTTTTTTAATTTTTTTATTTTTTTTGCCTATCATGACTCGTGGAACTTAGTCACAATATAAAAACTCCCTTGACCCAGAACCATTTTTTAAAACTTAAAAAAGAAAGTTTTAAATAGTAAAATAATTTCCGAAAAGATTTTCTTTACAAAATAGCTACAAAATCATGAGAAATGTCTACGTTTTACACAGAACAATCACCTAACCGTTCTTTTTAAAAATAGCTACAATTTTATTTTGTAAGATAGTCATTTGATCTAAGTTATGTTGATACTTGAAATATATATATATATAT